GTACCGTAGTAGCAACCCCCTCACTACCATAGGCAGTCAGGGAGCACGGGATGTCTACTCATTGGCCAAGATGATAGAGGGGCAGTTCTTACATTGAGCACGCCCAAAGCTAGAAAGATGAATGGATAGGGCTCTAGGGAGTGAGAGTAAAGGCTAGATGATCAAGTTAAGTTGGGGATAATTAAAGTCACTCAATAGGAGGCTGTTTAAATGAACTGTGATGCATCCAAATAGTGAAAAACTATGCAGTCATACAAAAGCATGAGGTGTTTCTTTATATACATATATGGAAAGGGCGCCTAAGTATATTTTTAAGTAGACAAAGTCAGGTGAAAAATAATATGCAGAGTGTGTTACTGCGTATAAAAGGCAATGGGGAGTACATATGTATATATAGAGACTCATTTCTTTGATATACATAAAATGCCCATGGAAGGATTCCTAATCAACACATAACTCAAGGAGGGAGACACTTCATTGTATATACATTCGCATATTTTTAATTTTGAGCAGTGTGGAATTCATTACCAATATAAAATACATTTTTAAATGAAAGTTTTAACAAGAGCCCTTGACTAACTAAGTAGATAAGGACACTGAGGAAGAGGGCAAAGCTAATGCTGGCATTTAAAATATATATATTTTTTACTGATTTCAGAGAGGAAAGAAGAGGCAGAGAAAGATAGAAACAGCAATGATGAGAATCATTGATTGGCTGCCTACTGGGGATCAAACCTGCAACTCAGGCATGTGCACCCAGGACCCTTCAGTCCACAGGCCAATGCTCTATCCACTGAGCCAAACTGGGTAGGGCTAATGCTAGCATTTTGAGTATGGAGTAAGAGAACCACAACAGCCATATTTCCGTGCTGCTTACTATACTGTCATGTATTCCTTTAAGTGCTTTAAAAAATTACTACATTTATTCCTTTCTTGGAACCCTATGAGGTAATTTCTACTATTCTTCTCAAATCATGGACGAGAAAAGGCAAGTACAGAGATTATGATGACGGTAAGTTGCAGAACCAGGGAAGTGAAAAGAAAATGAGGGGTGGGGGAAGAGTCTAGAGGTAAAGACATATTCTATTTTAGACATGATGAGATTGAGGTTACAAAAAAATGGCAAAATGATACCTGTATTGATATCAAATACAGGAATCTGGCTCCAGACTTAGGTTATAGATCCTTAATTTAAAGTGTTTAATAACCCCAGAGTTTGGTTTGTTCATATTATACCTATTTTGTATAAGTGTGCAATTAATATCTTTAAGTTTATTATACAAAGTACCTAGCATATTACATTTAAACCCACTTTCCTGTCCCACTAACATACCTTCCTCTTCTCCAAACACACAAGCACCATTTAATAAGTTACTTAAAGTAACAAAAATGAAGAGACCCTCCACTTATAAAATATGTAAGAGAAGTCAGGAACTGATCCAATGTGTTTTACATTCTTTGTAATCACAAATTATCATATCATAGAGATGAGAAAACAGAGGCTAGATGATAAAGCTGAGTTGGTGATAAGAAATACATCAGAAACCCAACTTCAGATATAAAACCCAAATTGAAAACAGTATTATATGAAAATCAAAAAGGGAATCAAACAAGGTCTCACATTGTCTTTGATACACTAATGAGCATCATGTGACAATGTAATTAGATATGTACACAAAGCACAGGGAACAGTGTAGCGGAGGTTCCAGATAATGCAGGGCTACAAAGAGTTTGTTTCTACATGCAAGAATCAGGGGAGAATAATAGAAATAGCATTTAATTTAAAATTAATAAGGAAGGAAATCTATCAATACTGTTTTAAGAAAAAATCATGAAAGTAAGCACATTCTATGATAATTATCAACTGAGCAGACCAGACATGACTTACAATTTCTAAGAAATAGCTGAGGAAATAAGGAAGTTTTGATGCACATGCAAAGGACTGTAATAGGACTTGAAGGACAATTGGGGTTCAAATGGAGAGGCAAAAAGAAGGCATTTAAGATGAAAGAAATATAAAATGAGTTTTAAACAAATTTCTCAGTGCCTGACACACAGTACGCCAATACATATTTGCTAAATAAATTAAATATTCAAAGGCAATCTTCTCATTATTCATCACCTTAAGTGAGATAATAAACTATAACCAACTCAAAGCAAGGGTAAATATAGAAATGTGTCAAATAATAATAAAGTAAAACCTCAATATAGCAGACTAACGAGGAAGGGCCTGTTAAAGCCGAAATCTGTTATATAATAAAGTACGTTTTCCAAATGCGTATGCTAACAAATTGACAAATTAGTTTACCTGTTTTGACTTATGTACACGTTTGTATAATTAAAATTAAGTATGCATAAAAAGTTCAATTTCACAGAAAAGTTTTCTATATGCATTATAGTAATTTTAAATTTACACTGAATAGGTCTAATCAATGCCTGGGCCATATCAGGAAGGGTCTTGCTCTAACTGGTTTGCTCAGTGGATAGAGCGTCGGCCTGCGGACTGAAAGGTCCCAGGTTCGATGCTGGTCAAGGGCATGTATCTTGGTTGCAGGCACATCCCCAGTAGAAGGTGTGCAGGAGGCAACTGATCGATGTTTCTAACTCTCTATCCCGCTCTCTTCCTCTCTGTAAAAAATCAATAAAATATATTTTTTAAAAATTACAGTGAGCCGAAACCGGTTTGGCTCAATGGTAGAGCATCGGTCTTTGGACTGAAAGGTCCCAGGTTCAATTCTGGTCAAGGGCATGTACATTGGTTGCGGGCACATCCCAGGTAGGGGGTGTGCAAGAGGCAGCTGATCGATGTTTCTCTCTCATCGATGTTTCTAGTTCTCTATCCCTCTCTCCTCCTCTCTGTAAAAAATCAATAAATTTTTAAAAAATTACAGTGAATTCACGACAAAAAAAACTCCTGATAATTTAATTATAAGCAAATCTTGGTTAAAAGTACTTTAAAATTAACAGGGTGTTAATTTTCACGTATGACATGCAGACCAGAAAATTTGCTCATTAAATTCGAAGTCTGTTAAATCGAGGTCTCCAAAACCGAGGTTTACTATTCTGCCCCCGCCAGAATGAGGAAGAATAAATGGTGTTCTCCCTCACTCCTAGGCACATGCAACCTAGAGGGATGGAAGATGACTAAGCTTGATGGCTTGATTATTGGAATTCAGTTAGCTATACCACTAAGGGCTTCATTTCAAAAATACATTTACTAGAATGACAGGGTGCGAGGTAGAGGGTGGTAGCAAGCTAGTTCATGTTTTCTCCCAAATTTCTTTCCGATGTATCCTGGAAGTCTAAGCCAGAGGGACCTACAGATCTCCTGAATTCTGAAAATAGAGCCATGATCTGGCTCGGTTTTCAGACACATGTGTCCCTTTTGCTAAGTTTATATTTCCATTCTTCCTATGCCCTTCAAGCTAACCTGAAGACACTGTTCCCAGTCGGTTCTCTGTGTCACCAAAGATATAAAACCCCTTCCCCCAAAAACAACAATAACAACAACAACAACAACAACAACAAAATCTGAAGAACGGGATGAGGTCATCTGTGAGTCACTGGTTTCTGTTGTCCAAATGTCCTGTTGGTTATATCATCCTGTGTAAGTTGCCCAAAGAATGAGGGGAAAGGCAGATTAGTGGCCCTTTCTCTAGGAGGTGCTAAAGTCCAGCAGGAGCAATGTTAAACCCAAAGTAAATAAAGCCCGTGCTCTAACTTCAGCCTGTGGGCAAGCGGATTCCATCTTGGGAGGTCTCCTTTCACCCCGTCTGCAAGGTGTTTTACAGATAGGAACTCACGAATTCTCGCAGCAGGGTTCCAGAGAGAAGAGTCTCAAACGGAGTAAGAAAAGGAAGTGAAACTAAGATATACACGGAATAACAGGCAGCGTCTGTTACATGCATTATGGCGTTTCGTCTATCCAAACTTCTGTGGAGATAAGATTATTAATCCACATTTTATAAAGGAGAAAAGCAATGTCCAGGGTAATGAAGCAAGGAAGCAGCAATATTAGAGTTTGAAAGCAGTTATGTCTGCTGCCCCAAACCATCCTAGTTTCCAACCCAAACTTCAAGATTCTTCTCTTTGCCTCGTTATGATCAGCCTGAGTGACATCAGACAGGTGCTAAATAATACCAAAGGAAATAAAGGATTGTCCCTTGGGCCATCCGTTTGGACTGATGTTTCCAAAGAATATATTGTATTTCTTTTGTGATTTAATTCCCTCCAAATTCACTGAGTTTTACACACACACACACACACACACACACACACACACACACACACACACAGTTCTTCCAAGTTAATCACTGCAAGTTGATTTGCTACAGCAATTTGGTTCAATCTCACACCTACAGAGGAACCAGCCACCTGAGCCAAGATTTAAAGAGCTAGGTGGGGCAGGGCGTAGGTTTCCACCTCAAATACAGCTCAGCCTCCCTTTAAGAGAAGGCACACCCAAAGCAGCTCCTCCCCTAGGCTGCCTCCAGGACTTCACCAGCCAGCTCCAAGTCCCCAACAGCCCAAGCTCAAACCTTCACTCACTTCCCCCTTCTCCTTCCTTTTAGAAGCATCTCTGGGTACCTGTGACTGCTCAGGGTGGGGGGGGTGGGTTACGTGAGAGTGCTGTCCTTCTGAACCCTGTCCTCTGGACTCTGGCTGCAACTTTGGCTGGGTTGGGTTAAGTCAAAGACAAACCTCCCTGCTTAAGGAGAAATGAGAGTGCGGAGCCCCGGCCGCCAAAGTTAGACAAAGCCATCCATTCTTGCCCCCTCCCCTTCAATTCTCCCACGAGGCTCCCCAACCTTCCTATCCCTTCTTTGCTCAGCCCTTTAGCAAAATCATTTTCTCTTGAGTTTCATTCGGTTCCACATAGTCTTTTCCCCAACCCACCTATGCCCTCCCCCTCCCCCACAAAAAACCTAAAGAACAGAAGTGGGGGTGGGGCTGAACAGAGGAGATGGGAGTGCGTGGGTTCTAATCCCAGAGTCACTTACCGCCCATGTCACTAGCTGGGGACTCCTGATGTTTCCGGACCTCATTCCACCGTCCTCCCCGAGGCTCATACTTCTCAGCTGATCGCAAGACAGCTGTTTCCTTCACACCCGCCCCTGTCTGCCAGCGACTCGCTCTCGCCTGGTCTCGCTGGGCCCCCCAGCCTCCCCTCTTCCTCCTGGCTGGAAAGTGGGGAGGAGGGCCAGGGCAGAGGGAGTCAGTCCAGACTCAGCTGGGCCACCCTCGAACGAGGGAAACAAAGCTCTCCAGCATCCAATCCCAAACCGGGGGGCCAGTAAAGCAGACTTCCTAAAAAGAACCTCCCCCCCGCCCCCGCTGCCAATGCAGCTCGCTCTCTGGGCTAAAAATAAAGTGGGTTCGCTGGGTCGAAGTGGCCAAAGCCGAGGATCCTCAGTTCCCCTTTCACCTCCACCAATTCAGTTCCGGCCAAGCCCACTCTCCACCCATCCCCTGCACTCTACAGACCCTGGAGGAGAGGGCCCCGAGGTTGGACCTAAGAAAACCAACCCAGATCCCAAAGCAATACTTGAAGACAAAGTTGAGGCAGGCGGACGAGCAGGCGGACCCGTTCGGGGACAGGAATCTTTACCGCAGCCTTGGCCGCCCCACACCCCAGCGCAGATGCATACAATCGGTGGAAACATATAGAGGCATCCCCAAGCCCAGGGCAGGGGCTTCAGCGAATAAAGAGCCCCAACTCCCGGGGAAACATTTCTTGGAAGCACCCGGCGGCCCCGCTGGAGAGATCCTGAAGTGCTAGCAGGGCAGCTTGAGTGGGTGGGGTGACTCTGTCTCTCGATGGTTACACCCAGAAGAGAGGTGTGACCGCCGTGAGGGTGGAGTTCCTTAAAAGGGACAGAGGGCTGCCAGAGGAGAGTCAAAAGTGGGAGGAGGTGGAGAAGGGTGTGGCTGAGACCAGGGAGGGAGAAAGGAGGGGGTGGGGTGGGGCGGGGCACTGGGCGGAGAGTCCTGGTCTTGCCCCACCCAGCAGCTTCTCTCAGGCTCCAGCCCCAGCAGGTATACAACTCGAGTCAATTTCAATTCCCTTTTCCCCATCCCATATAGAGTCTTGCAAGGGCTCTGCCTGGTTACCAGTCCATTCGGATTTAAACTCACTCACGAGGGGAGGGCGAAAGGGATTGGGGATTGGGGTTAGGGGCTCTCTACCAGGAGAGGAATGGGGAAAAGGAAAAAGCAAGGCTGGCAACTGGAATCCCATCCACCCTCCTAGCTCTCCATGGTAACAGGGAGACACTGGCAGGGACAGCGAGGTCACAGTGTCTTCTCAAGGTGGAGAGGAGAATGGAGCTGGGGCATTTTGTAGGAAAGAAGGTGAGGGTAAAAGAACGGGTGGGAGAGAAGGAGTTTGAAGAACTGTGGGGCCAGAAAGGCTCTTGTAGTCTTCCAGACACCAGACCTCTAAGAATAGGGTTCTCAACTGCCGGAGACTATCTCTCAGCCAGGCATTGCTAAGATTCCTGTAGAGCGGAATCCATAAAACAGCCACATTTCCAGGATTTCTTTGTCCTTGCCTGAAAGTCGCTCTCTAGGTCTTTTCAATAGGAGGTCAGGAAGTCTCAAGCAACCACAGGCCCTTATCAGTGTGGCGTCCCTACCACAATTTTTTTACAGAGGAGGAAAAAGCAGCGAGACAAACAGAGCAGAGGGATGGAGCAAGCAGAGAGACAGGAGAAATAATAGCTCCTGTGCCTTCAGCACCTAATATGGACAAGTCACTGGGCCAGGTGCATTTATCATTTCTTATTCCCGACAACGACCCTGGAAAGCAGGTATTAGTATACTCTTCAAGCCCCCTTTTAAAGGATAAAAGAAGTTCAAAGCTCAGTGTGGTCAGCAATAAGACAGACATGAGCAGAGGATGGATGATGGGCCAGGTACAGAAGATCACCAGAACAGAAAGCCCTAGGGGCCTAGCAATTGTAGGGTGGGGCCTCACCTCCCATGGTGGCCTTTCCCCCACTAGCTTATCACAGGTCCTGGTCCAGCGGTTTGGACCCCCTGACCTTTCCTCCCTAGAGATAACATCTAGGCCTCTGTTGTATTAAGGCCCCAGGACCAGAAAAGAAGCAAAACCAGGCCAGTAACCCCAGGGCTTACCTCAGGACCAGTTGCATTGGAAAATGATCCTCTCCCCTGGCACCAACCAATATTCATATTCAATCAGTGGAACCTGGAAAGTCACGCCTAGAAAGCTGCTGAATATTCTACTGAGATCTTTCCCCAGGACCTCCCCTAATATCTCCACCCTTAAAACCCTTAGGACAAAGGACCCAGTAAGCTCTCCCTCCCAGGAGCTGCCACACCTTCCCCTTCCCTCTCCTCATCCCCCCAGGCACATTTCCATTGGCTTTCTCAGTCTCAAACTCCAAAGGCCCTTCCTTTGCCTCTATAACTTATTTCTTCAGCCCAATTCTTCTACAAATTACTTCTTCTCTCTTGGTGATGTTCCAAATAAATGTTCTTCTTTAGTTTGAGTCTTGTCTCTGAATTCTTTCCTAGTCAGAACTCAAGTACCGAGTTTGCTGAACCCAAGTCCGATCTGACATCTGGCACCCTTCCCGCCTACAACACCAGTACTTCCAAACACATATATGCCCATGTGCTTGATCTTTCTGCCTGAATGTCTTCTAATCATCTCATCTTCTTACTCTGCCCCTAAAGTTGAGGTTCTCCTCTTATAGTTCCCCAACTACCTGGTTGGAATCATTATGCATGCCAACATCTAAAGCAGAACCCTGGGATTCACCCTCTACCACAGCATTTTCAACCTTTTTCATCTCATGGCACACATAAACTAAATACTAAAATTCCGCAGCACACCAAAACATATTTTTTTTGCCAATCTGACAAATTACCTACCCTTTTTGCTCTGAGGTGACTTTTAAAAAAAATCAGGTATCACCCAGCTGGCGTTGCTCAGTGGTTGAGCACTGTCCTATGAGCCAAGAGGTCACAGTTCAATTCCCGATCAGGGCATATGACCAGGTTGTCTGCTCAATTCCAGTTGGGGGTGTGTAGGAGGCAGCTGATCAACGATTTTCTCTCATCATTGATGTTTCTATCTCTCTCTCTCCCTTTCCCATACTATCTGAAATCAATAAAAATACATTGCAAAAAAATTAAAAATCAAGTGCTTATACTTGTATAATAAGGATTTCTAGTACCAAGAGTTAACCAATCAAACACAACCATATTATGCAAGGTGACCAATAAGGTGCAACTCTATTATAAATAGCCTATAATTATGGTTCAAGACAGAGCATTCATGCCTACAGTTATTGTTGTGTTGGTTGTCATTTTTTTAAATTTGATAGTCTAAAGGAAAAGAAGCGGTGCCCCCGTCAGGTGATGCTTTTTAAAAAATAATTTGCAGCACACCAGTTGAAAATCACTGCTCTAACCTATTGTACTCTGGACTCAGCCTACCTTTGAAGCAGCAAAAATCTTGGTACTTTCTTGAGCTTAATCTGTATTACAAATCCCTGAGAATGCCTGTTTCCATGTTTATTCTTTGGCTCACCTTGCTTCTATGTTTGAAATGGCTTAAATTCTCTGTTAATCCTTCTTGAAAGGATTAACTCAAGATCACTCCCCCTCCTTATTTAATTCCTTCAGGCAAAACTGACCATTGATTCTTCTGTGCTCTTCTCTACCTCAGAGGACCTATTTGTACATATAATTGCTCCTCCCATTAGACTATACAGTCCCTGAGATTAGGCACCAGATGTTATAATTTTTTTTCTTTTTAAAAAAATATATTTTATTGATTTTTTACAGAGGAAGAGAGAGGGAGAGTTAGAAACATCCATGAGAGAGAATCATCGATCAGCTGCCTCTTGCACACCCCCTACCAGGGATGTGCCCACAAACAAGGTAAACGCCCTTGCCCAGTATCAAACCTGGGACCTTTCAGTCCGCAGACGGATGCTCTATCTACTGAGCCAAACCGGTTTCGGCCAGATGTTATAATTTCTATAATCTGCATGGCAGATAATATTATTAACAATAGTAATAGTTACTGAGCATTAACTATGTGGCAAGCTCTATTCCAAGTCATGTGCATATGTGTGTGTGTGTGTGTGTGTGTGTGTACATTGAATTCTTCTGACAACTTTATGGATAGGTATTGTTACTAACCATATTTTACAGATAAGGAGGCTAAGGGACAGAGATTAATATGCATATGTTGAAAGAATTTTCCTGTGGTAGAGGTTCTATAAAGAACTTCCTATATCACTAATTCATATTTTTCTACCATCTGCCCAGCTTATTATGTAAGATGCATTGACACAGAACCACATAGACAGGTGTACAACTCTCTACATATTCCTTGAGAATAATCACTTTATGCCAGAAAGTTTTACTCTAAAATGTGGGGAGTTCTACTAAACTTAGGATTCTATCACTCCAACCAACACTATTTTCAGCAATACTGGAAAGTTTTCTCTTTGATTCCAGTGTGTGAAAAGACATTGAACTGTTTTTGTTTTTAATTTTTATAAATATATTTTACTGATTTCAGAGAGGAAGGGAGGAAGAGAGAGATAGAAACATCAATAATAAGAATTGTTGATGGCTGCCTCCTACACACCTCCTACTGGGGACTGAGCCTGCATCCCTCGCCATGTGCCCTTGACAGAAACCCAGGACCCTTCAATCTGCAGGCTGATGGTCTATCCACTAAGCCAAACTGGCTAGGGACATTTTTTTTAATTTTTTAAATTAGAGTTGACATACAATATTATATTAGTTTCAGGTGTACAGAATAGTGGTTAGACAATTATATTACTTACAGATACCCCAATATATCTTGTACCCACCTGACATCATGTATAATTATTCCAATATTAGAGGCCCGGTGTAAATTTGTATACCAGTGGGGTCCCTCAGCCTGGCCTGCGGGAATGGGGCTGAAACCGGCTCTCCGATGTCCCCTGAGAGGTCCCAAATTGTGAGAGGATGCAGGC